TTTAAAAAATTCCTTCCAAAGGAAAAGCAAAAAGTCTCCTTCAAGTTACACACAACTATTTACGTTAGGAACCACAGAGCATTCCCATAGCAACTGGGATTCTCCACAAATGCAGGGAGTTATATGCAAGCTTGAAAAAAACAAACAAACAAACAAAAACAGGGGAAAATGCAGAACCAGAGCTTAACCCCTCTTACTTTTCTGTCTTTTGTAACAGCCCACACCACATCAACACCCACAGAGATGTGCATAATCCCATTTTCAGAGCTTGGTGATTCCACGATACTCCAGGAGATTCCTGCAAGAAACAAAACCAGGAAATCACTGCAGGTTAGTTTCTTATTCTACTTTACATAAATAAGAAAGATTCACTGCAAATTATTACAAAAGATTTACCTTGAGGGTTATTCCTATCAATTCCTTCTCTCACAATAGCTTGTCCTTCCCAAAGAGTTGCCCAGAGAAGGTCATATGGTCCACAGCTGATCTGTACAACTTCACCAGGAGTGGTGACTAAGGACCATGTAGAACCTTCTGGATTGTGGTGGCAGACATTTTCTCTGTACCATACCTAGACAAAGGGAAAAAAAAATATTGGAAAAATACCAATATAACAGTGAAACCAGTCAGACAAGCATGAAGACAACTTGAACTAGAACAGTCTCCCTTAACATTATAATAACATTTTTTAAGTGTTTGCACTCTGACCTTAAAAGATAATTTTGGATTATGGATATGCAGTAAATGTCCACTTCCTTGTGTACTAAAGGAGGAGGTGTTTCTACAGCCTATCTTTTATCATGCACGTGAATCTGGACTGAGCATATGACCTACTGCTACAAGTCTGCACATATTTCAATATTTAAAAACACTTCAGCAGATTTCAAGGCATGTTCAATAAACCAAAAATTAACAAAGACGTAACACAAAATCATTAGCATTAGATGACAGCCTAGCCTCATTCCCACTGAGCAGGTCTTGCCACAATAAGAGTCAAAATTCTACTCTCTGTAGAGCCCTCTGTGGCATCCTGCAAACTGTTGGTCTTGGCGCTGCTGCTGGGGCATCTTCCTAGAGACTAGAGTGGGAATGGGAAGGTCAAACACAGAAAGCGTCCTGTGGTGGGCAGATGAGCGTTCCAAAACACAACTGCTGAGTGCAAATCTTCATCTTCAGAAATATTTTGTTTTCTCTGGGAACCTCTGTGTGGGAAATTAGGCATTTTATGATATCTATTAAGTAAAACTGCAGAGTAGGACGCTGTCACTTATTACTGAGAAGCCAGAGGCAAAGGGAATTTTATTCTAAACAATTTAACCAAGATTGCCTGCCTCTCCAGCCAGGGACAAGTGTGAATGAAATCTCTGACCACCTGTTAGGATCATTACATTCTTCCTGGTAAGTCAAGAATTGTCTAGAGACAAAGGACAGCTACTCAGGTACACACTGTAAGATGGGAACACATTGAAGTAGCAAAAACAGAATCAAAACTTCACAGAACACAGCAACATAGGAGAGACTGTGACAGGCCTAAATCCTTCCTTTCCATTAGAATGTAGGTTGATAATAATGTAGTCTTAAAGCAGCTTTGCATTCTCTGCTAGACGCCACCAGCATAGCTCTTTACCACCATAGGATGGTAACGTGCCTGCCTTGCTTTAGAAGCATTTACCTCCAATTCAGTATTAACACTTATATGACAAAATTGCTGGAACACGCACGTACCCTCCCCTGTAAAGAAACCGCCCATACTGATAAACGGCCAACGGGCTCATCGGTGATTTCCCATCCGCCAATGGAGATGTCATTGAAGGGGTCTGGTAACTGACCTGGATCATCGTGCGATGTAATCTGGAGCAAAGAGAAGGAAGGTTAAGAAAAAAAGGCAGAAACACTGCAAATAGATCACAGTGATTTGGCTGGTGACTCAATTTTAGCAAAATGATTAATATATCACTTTCTAAAATGGCTGAGAACAGAGGCTCTTCCTCTCACTCCAGCCTGCAAAGGGAGGGAAAATACTGCTAAAGCAGCATGAAGGAACCTGTGTTTCCTTCCCTACTGGGAGGATCTTTACCTATATAGGCCCTATCTATTGAACTTGAAAGCTGGAAAATCACAGACTGCAGTTTTGTACATTCTCAAAATTTAACTAAGCAATAGTTACACAGATAAAAGATGCAGCTAGGAGAATGATGCTATTGAGATGCTACCTTGGAAGAAAATGTTTGGTCACACAACAAAATGTTTTGAAATCGACAAGAGCTGGATATCTAACTCCCACTGCACTATCAAGGGATTTCAAACCTTATTACCATGGATCTATGAAAACATCCAACTTGCTAGGATTATAAATTGGAAGCCAAAGACTCCAGGCCGAGCCTACACAACAGTGGTAGAATGCCAATTTTGCAGCACTTCCCATTGATTTCTTCAGAAATCAGTTTAGTTAATACTTAAATGAAATCCAGAACCTTTGCCCAAACGTCCCGTGATTTGTATCTCCTGTATCTAATCCACCTCCTGCGCCGGACACAAGAATTCCATTTCTTATCCTTTGTGTAGGTGCTGGGGAAGTCGATGGCATAGGTCCAACCCTGCAAACAGAGGGTTTCTTTTATGAAAATCACGACCAAGGCAAAACTTGAAATCATAACTCAGAGCAATTGTGCACAAGAGTCACTCCCACTAATGTAACACAAATTATGTCTTAGTTGATCAGTTAATTGGAGCCACTAATTCTATGAATGATTTATGAACCATGTCGCAGTGCTCCACATGATACACACAGAACAAACAGGACACAGTAAAGCACTTTACTTTGTTTATAATGAAGATCTTAAACAGGAATACTATCCAGTTGCTGATATTTCATGGCCTGATCCAAAGTTCATTCAAATCCAATACATAAATAAAAACATTCCCACAGGCTTCAAAAGCTTTCTGACAAGATGCTTCATTGTGCAGTATTACAGTTGAGCTATTTCCCAGTAGGAACTGGCTATGGGAAGTTAGTGCCTTTTATTTTACAGACTGAGGATTCCCAGAACAGATCTCTTTTCCGTATTGTTCACCTACCCCTTTCTCTGTTGGTTCCCCTCCAATATTTTCATCCACATACCAGTCAGACTCCCACTCCCAGTGTGGTGAGGGCAGTGTGAAACTATCAAGCTGCTGATGTTTTAGCCCGCTCACATCACTCCACTGCCAGCGGTCGCTGGGCATTAATTTCTCACAAAAGCCACCAATTGGATTCCAACGCTGCCAGAAATAATAACAATTATATTATTTAAGATCACTTCTCCTCATTGGACATATATAGAGCCGTAGGGGTCATTAGGGATACGTTTCTTTTATTCTGCATTTGAAGAGTAATAATTCCTGCGATGAATGAGAGTGTTCATGCTCTAAGCCCCTAGTTAACACCGTCTTTGGAAGGAAGCTTCTTGAAATATCAAGGACGAGTTGGCTGCAGAACTAGCCCCCAAACAAATAAATTTCAGCTACATAAAGAAGAACATCTGATGATATAGCTTATTAAGAAGCAGTGCATTTTCTTTTGGTGATGTGGTACACATACCCATGAAACTAGCATTAGAATAATGCTGTAGAAATGCTTTGGGATCTCCTACCTAATTCCCAAGATAGAGATAACTAGAATCTTGCCTACCCTAAAACAACAGCATAGTTGCTATGCCAGAAAGTATGTCAAGATAGCTACATCCATACATCTTTTCTTCATATCTCATGGTACCAAGAGGATTTTTTTTTTGCAAATCTGTCTTTAAACAGTTTATAAAACCAGTAACTCACTAGGGTTTTCACCAATGCAGCTGTGATATCTTTGTATATACATAGATACATAAATATATATATTTATATAGTGTATATGCATATTCTTCAGAAACAGGAGTTAGGAAGTAAAAGAAAGCAAACCCAAACTTATGTCTTCCTATGGGAAAAACATGCATAGACAACTGATCTAAGGATTTGCTACCATTCCTTTCTGAAGAACACATATCAATCTAACAGAGGTACCATCTCATACCTGATTCTCATAGGTTTCTTCCTGGTATCTAATAGGAACGTCACCTGAGAACACATAGGTGTACACTTGATGATCGCAGGCTATTCCCCAGCAGCACTGTTTGACCGCAGAGACGCGTTTGAATTCCAGCTGTGTGTCCTTACAGAGCTCCCAGTACTGGCCAACAGTAGATAGAGTGTAAACCCTCCCAAAAATATCGACAGCCCACAGAAGGGAACTGGACATGGCCATGTCTGAAAGGCAAAACAAACAAACAAACCAAAAAAACAAGTAATTAATAGAAAGTACAATTTTAAGAACAGGATCTTCAACCTACTGTAGATCAGTATTTCTTTTTTAAGAGGAGAGAACATGATGCAAATAGACATCTTCAGTGTGTCTGCATGTCCAATTTAAAATCTTTTTAAAATAGTATGCCTGCAAGCCTGGAATCACGGTAGCATTACCAACATGTCAATGAAGATACACACACACACACACCCCTCCAAAAATCCTGCATTAATATAGCAATGCTTTTCCTCCTGGTAGGAAACTGAAAATAAGCAGTTGAGACGCTTGAGATTCCTTCCAGCAAATTAGACATGACTAATATTTCAAAAGGAAAAGCCACAGAGAAAAATTCCATACCGAATTTTAGTGGATGGCAGCTAGCTACTCTATACAAATCTGTAGACAGAACACAGAAAATCCACTGTCACATATATAACATGTGAAAGAAACTGGGAAGATGGGAGAAGCCCTTCCCCTGATAACACAACGAAGATTTTCTCTGCAAGGTAAGTTTTTCAATATGAATAGATACACCATCTGCCTCAATGATTCTGTTGCTATTTAAAATATCACCAGAGATAAAAATTGAACAGACCGAGGGGCCGGGGAGCGGGGTTCGGCCTGAGCAGCCCCGGGAGGGGCCCGCTCAGCGTGCGCAGATACCTGAGGGAGGGCGTCGAGGATGGGGCCAGGCCAACGACAGGGCGAGCGGCAACGGGCGCAGGCAGAAACGCAGGCAGGTCTACCTGAATTTGAGGAGAAACTTCTGGGCTGTGAGGGTGACCAAACACAGCAAGGGGTTGCCCAGAGAGGCTGTGGAGCCTCCCTCTGGAGGCGTTGATTCTGGGCAGCTAGCTGCAGGGGACCCTCCTGAGTGATCTCTGGGTGAACCCCAGCCCTTCTGTGATTCCCTTCCTTCTGTCTGGTGGCTATGGCTCCACTGAGCAGGACACACTTCTCTTCAATAAATAAAGTCTTGTTGAATTATGACCGCTGGCCCCTTCTGCTTGGGATAACTTTGCTCACAGCTGCAGTTTCCTCCAGCCTCCAGTGCACGTTGGCAAAGCTGTTGTTTGCATGGAAAGCGCAGTGGGAGCAGGTCTGCCTGGGTAACTGGGGCACGTCATTGGCCCTAGACAAGGTGAGAGAGACAGGGAATTAACTCGGGGAGTGTTTAAGTCTCTTGCTGTTATGAAAGACTTGGCTCAGTCCCTGCTGCAGTCAAAAAGTTTTAAAATCTTTTTGCTGCTTCATGGTCATCATCCCAGTGTGCGTAGTCCATATGTACATTTGATTCGTCCTCCTCCCTTTGGCTTTCCCAAATCTCACTTCTTTAAAAGGGGGGATTTCTCCTTGGCATGTGACAGTTATTTTAGGGAAGTGTCTTTCCGCTCATGAGGAAGTGCTGACATTCGCGTTTTAAGGGTTTCTTTGTCTTTATTTTCTCCCGCCAGATGAGTCAGGCGCTGCGAGCAGCGAGGGCAGGCCCTGCTCACCACTCAGCACCACGTGGTCCTGGCACGGCCCGGTCCTGGCGACGCTTAGGCGCCCTCCTCCCCTCGTCCACGCACCTCTGATTTTGAGGTAAATCTTTTCACCTCTTTCTTGCTTTGTGTTCCTTCCCATAAAATGAGGAGGTAAACCTCCTACTGCACTAGAGCATTTGTTATAGTGATAAACTCATGTTTGGGAACATGCAGTTACCATGGTGATAGGAGCCATGTTGGTATCTGTAATGAAAGAGAAACCTGTGAATATTTCAGAAATGAAATAGGGGTGAATCCAGCATCCTCAGGGATGAAGGTATGGAAAAGAGAGTTCCAACCCTGCTCAGGGATGTTTAAGCTCCTTTCAGAATATGTCCTGAAGGGTCCAGCCATCAGAAACGTGAATTTCAGAACTTGGAGAAACCAGCACAGGAGCTGCTGGAGTCGCTGCATGGTTCATTTTGCAAAGCAAGAGAAAGCAGCCCGTGTCCTCAGTGCTCTCCCTCCCTCCCTGTGGCATTTCTCCAGCTTCTCCTCTGCTTTTGCCCCTTCCAGACTCCCTGTTTTTCACAGGGTCTGAATTCAACTCCGCTGCCCGCAGAGCCGTGGGGCTGCGACGCTTCCGTGCAGAGCGAGGAGTCCGTGCGCGCACACACGTGCGCACCCCGCACACGCGCTGCTGCGGGGCCTCTCTGCCTTCCCCAGGCAGCACTTGCTGCGGCCCCATGTGCAAAATGGGCGACCTCCCCCCGGGCCCCCCACCTCGCGGGGGCCTCACTGGGAGGGCACAGTAGTCAGCTCTTGCGGCCAAGCTGCCCATTTCAAGCAAGGGGTATCTGCATGACATGCAATATTAAAAGTAGGCCTTGGCGAGCGTGCTAAAAATCCATCCAACCTTAAAAAAAACTTTTAAAAATACGTAAAAATGATGCAAAAAGCTGTGTTCAGCTCCCTAGGAAGGAAGGGCCAGTGGTGTGTGGGGGCTGCTGCTGGCACGGCAGTCACGAGGTCCCCACACCATGACAGCAGAGCCCACAACGCCGCACACCAACGCACCGCACCACAGGACGCGGGCAGCGCGCGCGGCCCCTTTAAGGCGGAGCGGCGCGGGGGGGGCAGGCGCGTCACGTGCGGCGCCGTCTTGTGACCGGCCGCTCGGTG